TTCGTTAGGCTCGGATTGGTTCATTTTTTGCGTGTTTTTACCATACAGAGACTGAGATGGATGAATGAAAATAAAAAGGGGTCCCCAGAGAGATGCCATATGTTAAGAGGGATGGTAAAAACAACCCGAGAACGTAATGCGGCGGCACACTGGGCACTTTCCTCCTAAACACGTCGCCAGTTTTGCTGGCCTTTGGCCTGACGGTCCAGCAAGCAGCAGGATTTCTGCTGTTGCTAGAAATGGACAACGGTTTGGCTGGGATCTTTGCTGGCCGGATTATGCTCAAATGAGCTTCATATAATTTCAAGTAAAATTTTAAATAAACCATGAAACAATAATAATTTAAAATATAACACATAAACGGTGACATATTTCTATTTATTTGTCACTTTAAAATTTCTTTAGTATAATTAAATCATTATTCAGGGTCTTCTTTGACAAGCCAGCCGCCGCCACTTTTAAAGAAACTTCACAACATAAGAAAAAAATAAGGAGTCTGCAATAGATCGGTTGGTCTGCATGGCAGCTCCTGTCAAGAGTTACAACCACTCTCTATCGTCCATGGATCTATCTAGCCTACTTTTAAAACTTTCCAGCGTTCCAGCACTTACTACAAACTTGCTAAGCTTGTTCCACTCATCTAACACCCTATTTGTGAACCAGTTTCTTCCTATCTCCCTCCTAAACCTAAATTTATCCAACTTAAATCCGTTGCTACGAGTCCTATCCTGCTCGGATATTATAAGAACTTTATCTATATCTCCTTTATCGATTCCTTTCACCCACTTAAGTACTTCTATCATATCTCCCGCACTCTTCGTCTTTCTAGGGAATGCAAGTTTAGTTTCTTTAATCTATCTAGATAGGGAAGATTTTTAGGTCCCGGAATCATTTTTGTCATTCTTCACTGCACCGACAGCATAATCGAGGTGCGGCCTCACTAGTGCAAGATATAACTGCAATATGACCTCCGCACCTACTTACACTTCTGGATATAAAACCTTATGCTCTGTTTGCCTTATTTCGAACATTAACGGGCTTACAAGTACCCCTAGGTCTCTTTCACAAGTCGACTTGTTTAGTCTTTTCTTTAGCTTTTGCAGACGCCTCACTTGCTTCAGCAATTGAAGTACTGTACTATAGCGCAATCCTGCAAGGCCTCAACTGTAGTTACGGGATCCGTGGCGAGTCTCCTCTTGACGCTTTGTTGTTGTTTTCATTGCATTGGGCAGACGCGCCAACAAAACATCCCAGTGTGACGCAAAACGTCTCTTTGTTTTTCTGGCCGGACCGTGTTTGCCAAACATTTTTGGAGGAAAGTGCCCAGTGTGCCGCCGCCTTTACAGTGGATGACTGTTGTCGCCAACCCTCAGATATGAGGACGGTGCTCTTTGATTTACCAAACAATTTGGCTTCGGTTCGTAGGGTTTTCGTGAATTTGCTCAAGTAATGAATATGAAATCCATTAAAAACATATTGAAATATACAGGAAAAAAACATATCATCCAGAAAGTCATTTCATCCAACAGTCTACATTGACAGCAGTAGGTGTATGACTCACCTCTATTTATCGTTTGGAAATCGAAAGGAAAACAGATCTCTGTTCCTCTAAAAATAATAGAATAACGTGATTTCGCCGAATTCTTCGGCTTCTTCCCTTTATTCCTTGCCTGGTAATTATGAGTATTTTGTTTACTTTCCGGCTGCTTGGCGGCGCCACTTTAGAGAGTGAACCAGAGCCCTAGATAGATATCTATCTACGGCTCCGGAATGAACGCCTTTGCCCACTGGAGTGAACTATTTTTCTACAGTCTCAGAACCATTGATTGTACCCACCTAGTATTGTGAGGAAACTTCACGATTCACTGAATTTCCCCAATATAACCATATTATCATCCCGTAACCCCTAAAGTAATCAGTCTTATCTCTTGTATGCTAGACCATGTGATTTTGACTTACGTTAATAGGAATTTTCAATAGCTATTTGTTGTACGGACCTAATGGACGATTGCTTAAGTCCTCGGCATTTGAAGCACCGTACCCCCGTAATATAACAAGTTTACTCACTACCGATGAGATAGCAGTGAGAATTTTGTCAGGTGGGAGCACTGATAACGCCTCCACAGGCACCTGCTACTATAATACGTACTTTAATATCTTGTTCATTCTTTTATTATTGAAATGGTTTACTGTACTATCAAGTATAGGGAAATCAATTTTATTTATGTATATTGATGACTAGTGTAAATACGAGTGTACGGTACGAGGCCTTTGATGTTGAAGCGCAGTGCGATATCAACATAGAGTGAGATAAGAAAAACTCCACATATTAAACTGAGAGCTATCACGTTCAAGTATAATAATATTGTGTCTTATATTGGAGATAACATTTTAGCTTGTAATTCGTTAAATAACTTTCACTTTCCATGGTGTATATATATATATATATATATATATATATATATATATATATATATATATATATATATATATATATATATATATATATATATATATATATATATATATATATATATATATATATGCTGATAACCACAAGGGGTAACTAGGGGTAATTGCTGATTAGCGTTAACTTTTGACTGGTAATAAACAATCATGAAGGTCGTTGAAATACATGTATATGAAATTTTTCATAGAAAACTTAATCTAATTTAATCTTACCTAACCTTCTTTGGGAATAATTTTGCTATTTCATGCTAATATATATATATATATATATATATATATATATATATATATATATATATATATATATATATATATATATATATATATATCATTAAAATTTCTGTGTTTTCTTGTTTCCTTGTGGTTATCCGCATATACTTGGATCACGCGCACCTGCAGTGATTTACTTGCATATACAGTAATATATATATATATATATATATATATATATATATATATATATATATATATATATATATATATATATATATATATATATATATATATATATATATATATATTGATAAAATCACACAGGGGAAAGGGAAACAATTTTCCCTGTGTGATTTTATCAAGATTTATCTTATCTATGTTTTCAGTGTGGATCTACATCAAATATATATAAATATTGTTACGAACCCCTCCACCAATTGTCATGATCTACCTACCCAGCACTACGAACCACGCCATCTATTGCCCTGATCTACCTACCCAGCACCACGAGCAACGCCATCTAGGGACGAGACACGAGTATGACTCGTCTTAGTTACCACTCCGGGTTTCCTTCTCCATATCCTGGTTGTTGCGTCACTTCCTCCAAGTCTTCTTTGTCAGCTCGAGTTTGAGGAGAGAGCACTACACTCTGGGAAGTGACCACAGGATCACCTATCCTCTAAACCTACGGCACAGTGACTACCTACCTACCGTCTTCTACAATACTCAGCCATACTCGTCAGCCATCTCAGCTCCGCACTTAAGTATTTGTAATCTTATATTGCCTCCCACGTCCACTTGCTTCAAATTATTGTATGTTGTATAAATATGTATATACTGTTAATGTTTAGGTTAAGTATGGTTGGTAAATTATAGATAGCTGAATATTTTGTTAAGGAATTTATGGTACTTTGTTATACCCAACAAAAGCTCGCATCCTTTGTCTACCCTTTATAGTCCGATTGTCTTGTTTTTTGTTGTTGTTGCCTGTTGGGATCTGTAGACTTTTAACTATATTCTAAATCCCCAACTCGTAATAATATATATATATATATATATATATATATATATATATATATATATATATATATATATATATATATATATATATTGTGTTTCGATAAGTAGGGAAAATTGCTGATGAATTTACAAGGGGTCACAGCTCAAGATTGAAGAAGCCACAAGTCCAGAAAACTGTGAGGGCAAACTTTTTCGGAGTGAGAGTTGTGAACTCTTGGAACAATCTACCAGAAAGTGTTGTGACGGCACCGAGTTGAGCTCTTTCAAGACCAGACTTGACCAACACTGGATGCAGGTTCAGGTACAGTACATTCAGGAGCTGGTGCATGCCCAGTACTTGCCAACAGTGCGTGACAGAGACGTGACCGATCGCCCAAGCGGCTAACGAGCCAATCATTTGGTGAAGAGGATAAAAGAAAAAGAAAAGTAACAGAGACGTGACCGATCGCCCAAGTGGCTAACGAGCCGATCAGTGGTGAAGAGGATAAAGGTAAAAAAGTAAAATGCAACAGACTTTTTTGCCAAAAAGGGATTCCCTTTCATTCTAACAGTACTTGCTTTACATAAGTTGGATCAAGATGAAGAGTTCCTGCGTATTTCTCGCGTATTTTTATGTGGCGACTGAGGTGAAATGAGATCCGGTCACTGAGGCACCAGGTCTATCACTGGGGCAGTAACGGTGTTTACTTTTAAACTTGAATTCACTCAAAATAATCATATTCTCAATGTTTCTACACAAATTTACCCGAACCAGCAGTTTTTTTTGCCCAAATCTATCAAATTGATATTAATAAATTCGTCACTTCAAAAAATATTCAAATTTAGATACCGATAACATTTTAAACTTATTATAAACGCCGGCCATGTGAGGTTCTTGTGCCCCCACTAAAAATACCGTGATCTTATGCTCTCAGGAGAGTGTAGATTTCAAGGGAATACAAGATTCGTCAAGTCTGTACACAGTGTATCATGCAGCCACCCATTCAGTGCACCTGCCCATATACAACTAAATTTTACTAAAGTGCAGTGGTGGGGCCGTCCATTCATTGACATTGAGGTTAGATTAGCGTACCAGTAATACAGTATATGATCAACTACAATGTACAGTACGTGAACTGACATGCTACAAAAGGTTCTGTATTGTTGTCTTGATATCAAATCCCTGAAATAATTTTTAAAGATCAGTAAACAGCATCACATAACTCATATCAATGATGTTATCATGCATATGCTACTGTAATAATGTAGCACTACTAGTCTAAGCAATTAATTAGGATATAATCAGTATTATTACCTACCTTCTACCGAGGTCTGCAGCTGTTTGAGGTGGTACTGTACTGGTCGACAAGACGACTACACGTGGGAGAAGGAGCACCTGTTGCCCATGACTTTTATAGTAAGAAAAAAAGGTTACCGATTGTGAAATTTCGTTCTTCTTATAGAAATGACAACTTTATTTTTCCGAAGTGTTTACGTGAAATGAATAAATACAGTATATTAAGGTATGTGTGTTACGTAATGTACTCTTCAAAAAGTTAAGAAATTATATACTGTAGGTCTCTATTTATCGCATGGAAATCATCTATACTACAAGTGTTCCACGGTGTCGGTCGCGGTATCATGTCTCTTAAGTTGAATGTTTGATGTCTTGTATGTGATATGATCTAGAATACTCCTACAGGACCTTAGTTCTTGAGGCGTGGCGTTATATTATAACATCTCACCCAGAGCCAGATTACCCAATAGGCACAGTGCCAAGGGGCCTCCAGGGCCAAAGGGCCCCGAAGTCCATAGTTTTCGGTAGGGTGAACGCAGAGAATTTGTTTTGTTTTTTTAATGTTAATAATAATAATAATATGTGTTTCATAGTAAAAAAATAAAAATAAAGAATTTTAATTGTCTACCTTTATTTTACACGGTAACCACCTTTAGAAGCTGATAAGCGGCGAAAGGTGGATCGTAATTTACGATTCGTAACACTACATTGTATAATTTATCGTAACGTAACCTACCCTACCTAAATTTGAACTTCATTTAAACATTATTTATGTATATCACTGAAGTAAGGTAGGTTAGTTCGGTTCATTTTATGAACGATAAATTGTATATTGTAGCATTTTTCAGTATCGCCGAATTACAACAACTGCGTTAGTGATTTTACTCCCTTTATATGCAAGATTACCCAGACTTTCAAATACAAAATCTAAATTCCAATGTTTCTGACGAGATATCTATTTATCTATCTACCTTTTATTCTTCAGTTCCTTAATTATACTTCGCTCTCAATTGATATTAATTAAGTTGCCCCAACAATGCTTTACGATGAAATAAAAGAAAACGAAAATATATTTGGGTGTTAAATCATGCCTGTCAACTATTATGTCAAATAATACTCTCCTTTTTTTATCCTCTTTGCCACTGACCGGCTCATTAGCCGCTTGGGCGATCGGTCACGTCTCTGATTACTCTTCTTTTTCTGTTATCCTTTTCACCAAAAGATAGGCTCGTTAATCACTTGGGCGATCGGTCACGTCTCTGTTACGCACTGTTGGCAAGTATTGGGCATGCACCGGTTCCTGAATGTGCCTGAACCTGCTCCAGTGTTGGTCAAGTCTTGACGAAGAGCTCACACTCGGTGCCGTCACAACACTTTCTGGTAGATTGTTCCAAGAGTTCACAACTCTCACTCCGAAAACGTTTGCCCTCACGGTTTCTGGACTTGCAGCTTCTTCAATCTTGAGCTGTGACCCATTGTGGGGCGAGCGTCCGCCAGCTCAGTAAGGACACTCGACTGAATAGTGCCTTGAGATGCTTATACACCTCAATTAAGTCACCTTGCCCGTTTGTAGTATAATGAGCAAGTTCAGGCGCTCAATCTCTCAGGGTAGCTGAGGTGCCGAAGGCAGGCACCAGTCTAGTGGCCCTCCATTGAACATTTTCAACCAACAGACAGTCCTCATATCTCGGGGACCAGACGGGGTGACAGAACTCCAGATGGGATGCACTCACTTCCTCCTGAAGATCGTTACGGGGACGGACCGGCTAGATATCTGAACGACCTTCTTCTAAGACTCAATAATTTATTTACCTGATTTTTCTTCTCATCCGAGAACTTGACATTGTCAAGTTCACACTTCAGTCTCCGTGTTTTGGGACTATATTTACACATTGTGACATTGAATCTCAGCAGCCATTTCTTCGACCATTCTTGGAGCCACAGAGGTCTTTCTGCAGCTCTTCACAGTCCTTGGTTTATTTCCCAAATAACTTGGCGTCATCGGCAAACTTTGTATGGAGATGTAGAACGTCAGGCACGTCATTATGAAACAAACAAACAACAGCAGGTCAATACACGCTCTGTGGTACCCGTTGTGACAGGTATGGATGATGATTTCGTGCCATTAATCACCACACACTGCTTGCGGTCACGTAGAAAGTCTTCTATCCACGCTAGGAAATTCTCCGAATTCCGTACCCTTCCAGTTTGATTTTCAGTCTTTCGTGGGATACACTGTCGAAAGCCTTGGCAAAATCTAGGTAAATATTGTCGATATTATCACCCCGTTCCAGAATATGGGTCCAAATATCTAATACCTTCAGCAATTGTTAAGCAGTAGCACCACGGCATAAAACCGTGTTGGCAATCCTTTACAAGGTTGTTTCGTAGTAGATGTTCCATCGCGGCATCTCTGATAATACTCTCAAATACTTTACATATTATGCTGGTCAGGCTCACCGGTCTATAGTTGTTCGTGGAGTGACGATCGCCCTTCTTGAAGATAGGACTCACATAAGCCTTTTCCATTCACTGGGGACCTTTTGTTCATCCAGGCATTTATAAAACAGGATCTTCAGGGGCTCGTCAAGCACGTTTCTCAACTCTTTTAGCACTCTAGGATGCACCATGTCAGGGCCGGGACTCTTATGGACCTTTAACAGTTTATTTCTATACCCTCTTCGTGAGCACAATGTGGGTCAGTGCTGTGTCGAACCGTCTGTCCTCAATCGCAGGAAGGTTAATCGCATCCTCTCTTGTGAACACCGAGGAAAAAGCTGTTCAATGCCTCAGCATCCTGGTCATAATCTGCACTACCATCTTCAAGCCTCAGGTCTGATACTCCTATGCGCTTTTTTAATTTCGTCTTTGCATCGCGGTAAAACGCCTTTGGGTTTGACTTGCCTCCTTGCAACCAGCCTCTGGAACTCCTTTTCAGCCCTTCTACATTTTGTCTTTGCTTGGTTTCTGGATCGTGCATACATCCTCCTGTCCTGCTCATCATTTGACCCAACCCACGTCTTGAAATTCTGGGTGTTCTTCTTAACTTTATCGACCGCCGCATGGTTCATGTGTAGGGATCCCCTCGTATTCGTAGAGGTACTTGGTTTGGTCTTGGGTATATATTTATTGATCAAATGGGTCACTTTACTAGTTATGATATTCAGTGTAGTGTCTGCGTTCTTGTGCCTTAATGAGTCAGGCCAGTGGATACCTCTCATCTCTTACCTCATCCCGTTGTATATTCCCCTGTAATATTTGCACCTTGACCTGGCCTTATCTTGAACTAGGTTACAGTTAAATCTGAATGACAACACTATATGGTGACTGGAATTTTATATATATTATCATATGCTGGATTATATTATGTATGTATATATTATGTATGTACTCCATTTATATTTATTCAGCCTAGCTAGCAGCGTGTGTAATGTTAAATACCATATCACAGCAATTAATATTTTGGCGACATGGGCTACATGTATCACCCTTACGCCGTGTCTATGGTGGTTGACCGGACAGCAGCTGTAGGGAGCAGTGCTGCCCACCTCTATTAGCATACGCCATCAGTAAGCCAGACCTACAAAACTATACAGGTGTTTGTTCTCTCCTGTATGTCGACATTGCAGACATCTAACATGGCGCAGTGCGTGGTTTTACTGGATTATTACGAGTGATTGGTGCAAGTTTGTGGAAAACCGGCTGATGGATCGCGCACACGATTCAACCCGCGTCATCCTCGAGAAGATTTCGCAACTTTGAGCAGTGTCGGTGACAGTGATTTTTCTGTGAAGTGTTTAGTGCATTGTGTGTTTCGCGCATTCATGTGTGACCTTGTTCGAACGGATTTCCAAGGTATACGGCATGTTCTGTAGGCATTTGTCAGGGGTGTGAGCTCAGCGCACCCTCCTCTGGCAGGCTGACGACTGGCGACTCCTATCTCCACCCCCTCCTCACAGCGCCACTTTCCACCCCCCCCTCACAACAGAGGCCGAGACCTTTCTCCTTGCGTGGGACACACACATACATGTACTAACACTTTGCCCCGGCCATGTGAACTTATATATATTTATATATATAACCTACTTATCTGTGTATTTAATTAAATTTTTGTCTAGAAATCTTGTTGTCTGACCGGGCTGACGGTCAACACTGATTTGAGCACAGTACCAGACATAAAGTAGTTATATCTCATGCCTTCGTGTATTGGACCCAGCGCCTGGATGGTGTGGGATGATAGTCCCCCAGAGATGGTGACAGGGCACGACCATGACACCCAAGCTCACAACATCGCGCCTCACCATTCATTATCTCCAGAGATAATTGCCTTAATGAAGTTTATGAGATGAGAGAGCGCGAGGGTTAAGCTCTGGGCGTTTTGGCGGATGGCTTTAGAGAAGGCAAGCAGAGGCAGAACAGAGACCACCAACGGAGAATGGAAGACATGCAGTTTGGAAGCCTTGATATCTCGCCTCACTGTTAACCAAGCCCTGGCTCCTAACACTGCCTCATTTTCCGAATGAGTTTGAATCCTCATCCATGCTCCCTTCGCCCCCAGCCCCACCTAAGCAGCTCAAGCACGCCCATCTTGGAGCCTGATGTAAATTTCAGACTTTTCGCGAATGGCAGCAGGCCAGGCTGATTATGCTACAATGGTGGATCTCCATTTGTCACAGCCTAAACAACTCATCCAGCTGTATGTGCCTGTCCTTGGAAGTTCAGCGTGTCTTAGAACATACGTTGCAGTACCCCCAACCTCTTCGCTGTCTGTAGAGGAGAGTACTGGACGTTCTACAACGGCATCAAAAGACCTTAGGAATGGCTCCTACTTGAGAAAGGGTGTTTGGCTGCAGATGGAGAGGTGGAGTCTTTTGACCTTTTTATGTACGTCTTAAGAGAGCCTCCCGGAGAGAGGCAGGAAGATATATGTTTAGGCCACCACCAGCAGTGGGGGAGCCCAGTTAAACAGGTGATCTGAGTGGGTGTTGGGACGAGGAACTGGTCCAACGCCTCACCTCCTCGACTCTTCCTCTTCTCTTCAGGATGTGTTGACGATATATCGCTCCTATAGGGCTGCCAGGGTGTTTTTCTGCCATCCGAGCTCCACCTACA